TTTGGGGATTTAAATGTGGTCTGCCATGGCAGCGAATGCGGAGGGAATCCGTGCAAGGGCGGATGTCTTTGATGAACAAATTCTACGACGCGTTCTTTCATTTGTGCCTGGGAGCTCTGAATTGGCTCCAAAATATTCTTTGCAACCAGAAACCGGACACTATCTGGTAAAAGCTGGTTGGCCAGTTGTTTTGAAGAAAATGTGTCATTGGAAGGAGGCAGACACCACCATCTGTATTTGCTGCGGTGCCAACCAAGAACCCGGCGATCCAAACGAGTCAGACGATAGCTGGACATCTCAGCAAATCTCTGCTGGCTGGGCAAAGATCATGACCGTGACAATACCACACTTTCGTCATCATCATCTGAAATATTTCAAAAAAACAGTCAGAAGCATAGAACATGTTTGGAGGACAATGGCAGCCGAGAGATGTTACATCTGCGGGCACTGCAACGACTGCGTTGTGAATCTCGAGTATGAGCATCCTGCTGACTGGCTGGAAGATCTTTCTGCGTTCACAGAGATGCTGGAACTTAGGTCGTGTCCGTGGAGGTGCCCAGATAAAGATCGACCGCAGTAGCCGGATTGCTGCAGTAGTAAAAGCGGCAAACATGCCACATCTGCAGCATCATGGTACCGACCTTTGCTTGGACGCAGCTTGTGGGAGCTGGAAGGCTTGCGTACCGAGTGGCACTGAGTGCAACTGGCGCAAATTAATCTGTAGCACTGTTCGTCTGGAGAGACTGTTCGTGACGAACATGCAAAACCAGTATGTTCGTCTGGAGAGACTGTTCGTGACGAACATGCAAAACCAGTAGCCAACTGTTGTTTGTCTGTAAAGTTTTTTTTCCATCCTGTAGGGACATCGGAGAAATGCAGTGAAACAGGTGTTATCCTTGCCATCATGCTATCGAACTTGCTATCATTCACAGCATTCTTGCACGGAGTTCTAGTTTCTTACGGAGCCTTTGTTTGTGTACTTTTGCATTTTGTAGCATTTCCATTGCGACTATGTTTGCCCACCTTTGTTTGCAACTAAGGTCATCCACGGCATCAGGGAGCTGGAAGGCTTGCGTACCGAGTGGCACTGAGTGCAACTGGCGCAAATTAATCTGTAGCACTGTTCGTCTGGAGAGACTGTTCGTGACGAACATGCAAAACCAGTATGTTCGTCTGGAGAGACTGTTCGTGACGAACATGCAAAACCAGTAGCCAACTGTTGTTTGTCTGTAAAGTTTTTTTTCCATCCTGTAGGGACATCGGAGAAATGCAGTGAAACAGGTGTTATCCTTGCCATCATGATATCGAACTTGCTATCATTCACAGCATTCTTGCACGGAGTTCTAGTTTCTTACGGAGCCTTTGTTTGTGTACTTTTGCATTTTGTAGCATTTTCATTGCGACTATGTTTGCCCACCTTTGTTTGCAACTAAGGTCATCCACGGCATCAGGGAGCTGGCTGGAATTGGGCTTTGCGTACCGAGTGGCACTGAGCGCAACTGGCGCAAATTAATCTGTAGCACTGTTCGTCTGGAGAGACTGTTCGTGACGAACATGCAAAACCAGTATGTTCGTCTGGAGAGACTGTTCGTGACGAACATGCAAAACCAGTAGCCAAATGTTGTTTGTCTGTAAAGTTTTTTTTTCCATCCTGTAGGGACATCGGAGAAATGCAGGTGTTATCCTTGCCATCATGCTATCGAACTTGCTATCATTCACAGCATTCTTGCACGGAGTTCTAGTTTCTTACGGAGCCTTTGTTTGTGTACTTTTGCATTTTGTAGCATTTCCATTGCGACTATGTTTGCCCACCTTTGTTTGCAACTAAGGTCATCCACGGCATCAGGGAGCTGGAAGGCTTGCGTACCGAGTGGCACTGAGTGCAACTGGCGCAAATTAATCTGTAGCACTGTTCGTCTGGAGAGACTGTTCGTGACGAACATGCAAAACCAGTATGTTCGTCTGGAGAGACTGTTCGTGACGAACATGCAAAACCAGTAGCCAACTGTTGTTTGTCTGTAAAGTTTTTTTTTCCATCCTGTAGGGACATCGGAGAAATGCAGTGAAACAGGTGTTATCCTTGCCATCATGCTATCGAACTTGCTATCATTCACAGCATTCTTGCACGGAGTTCTAGTTTCTTACGGAGCCTTTGTTTGTGTACTTTTGCATTTTGTAGCATTTCCATTGCGACTATGTTTGCCCACCTTTGTTTGCAACTAAGGTCATCCACGGCATCATGGGGCCGAGCTTCTTTTGTATCTCAAAGGTCTTTGTGTGGAAATGCGTCTGACCTCTCTCTCTCTCTCTTTATCTCTTCCCCCTCTTTCTCTCTGTGGTTGCAAGACACATGTCATCTGATGCCCTTTACCAAATATTCTCTTCTTGATCAATCTTACTTTTTTACATCATGTCTTTCCATAGCTCATATAAAATTCACCAATAAAATTCACCAACTATTCACCGACTATCTTTTACGACTACCATACTCAGAGCTGCTTGAAACACATCTTTTTCGCTCTCGGGCCAACCGTCGTCTAGTTGTTTTTTCCTCCCCACCTGCCAGGTGAGCGTCTCTAGATTTTCGAGCTCCAGATCACAGTGCGCACTGCTGGCTTGGGGGGCTGTGGAGTGGGCCAGTGGCCGGCCCGGTGCCACATCGCGAGCGCAAGAGGCTGCACATCGCGAGCTCAGGAGGCTGTGGAGTGGCCGTGGCACCCGATGCCACATGGTGAGCTCAGGAAGCTGTGGAATGGCCCTGGACCCGAGCACATGCCAGAAAGATTGCCAGAGAGAATGCCAGAAAGAATGTCGGAATAAATGCCAATAGAATCCCAGAAAGAATGTCAGAAGATATGCCAGACAGATGCCAGATAGAATGCCGGAAAGAATGTCAAAAGATATGCCAAATAGAATGCCAGAAAAACTGTCAGAAGATATGCCACAAGTTAATGCCAGAAAGAATGTCAGATGCCACATATAATGCCAGAAAGAATGTCAGAAGATATGCCACAAAAAATGTCAGAAGATATGCCAAATAGACTGCCAGAAAGATATGCCAGAAAGAATGTCAGAATATATCGATGGCAGATAGGCATGATATTATTTTTGACAGTGGGGATCACTCGAAGTAAAATATTTTCTTTTTTTAGGGGAATATAGTGTATATATATATACAACCATGATCAACCATGAAACATGGAGATACCCTGGCATCAAACATAAGGATACAAATTGATATAAATGGATATAAACGGAAATAAAATGATATAAATGGATATAAATGGATATAAAATGATATAAATGAATCTAAATGGATATAAAATGATATAACTGAATATAAATGGATATAAAATGAAATAAATGGATATAAATGGATATAAATGAATATAAAATGATATAAATGGATATAACATGATATAAATGAATCTAAATGGATATAAATGGATATAAATGGATACAAATGGATATAAAATGATATAAATGGATATAAATGGATATAACATGATATAAATGGATATAAATGGATATAAATGAATCTAAATGGATATAAAATGATATAAATGGATATAAATGGATATAAAATGATCTAAATGGATATAAATGGATATAAATGAATATAAAATGGATATAAATGGATATAAATGGATATAAAATGATATAAATGGATATAAATGGATATAAAATGATATAAATGGATATAAATGGATATAAATGAATATAACATGATATAAATAGATATAAATGGATATAAATGGATATAAATGGATATATATGGATATATATGGACATAAATTGATATATATATATATATGGATATACATGGATATAACTATGCTCGAATCATCAAATGCGAACACGGCCATTTATTGCCATTTCAATGGAGAACCATGGATTTTCGATCTCACTGGGGTTGGGTTTTCCCACATTCTCAGGCAAAACCAACGAAACATAAAATCATCCCTGGATGGTAGATTTAGTAAACAACATGGGGATTTCCCCATGAAATGGGGATTATCCTAAGCAACAACACCTGCAGACACACAAACACATGATCACACACGTGGCCACGGGTGGACATGTTCGAGAATCCACGCTCTCAAGGCCTAGGGTTCAGTCTCCTGCGATGCAGATGCCAGAAGCGATCTTCCAAAGATATCTGTCTTTGTCAAAATCATTTCATGCTCCGTCACCCAGTCAGTCTTTCAGTTTTTCATCATGTGTTGGAACTGACTGCAAAAACCGACTTAAACAAAAGGACACCAACACAGAAGCAAACCAACTTACAGTACTTCATTCAAAACAAGTGGGTGTGTCAAAAAACATGGAACCCACCAAAACCCAGCAAAATGGTGTCGACTTTGTTGGTGAATCCTGACTCTATCCCCTTTTCTTTAGACACTCTTAATCAGTCAACGACACACACAAGAACGCACAGCTCCTTTGGCGCAAAGAGCACAGAGCGGCAAAGGCAGTTTCTGCAGCGTGCTGGGCACATAGCTCTCCAGCAGCACAAAGTCTTTCTGCAAGATGCCACGCACATGGTCGCGGATGTATGGATATTGCAGATCCTGCGCCAAGATCGAAGAGAAGACTTGGAGTGCTCAAAATTTGACCCAAACAATTGAAGACCTTTCAAGTAGATGAGCCAACTAGTAACTAGTGGATGAACCCATGGACACATATAAAATACAAGAAGATGGGTAGCTGAGGGCAAAAGGACAATCTTGCAGCCCAAGAGTTGGCGGTTCACAGATCCACAAACTCAATTCGGCACCATCCTATCCAGGGATGAAACATCATTATATAACATTATATATATTGTTCATTCGACATCTCAATCCGTGCAGCTGGTGGGCTCTTCGCAGGCAAAAGGGAGCAGTGCACAGGGTGCTGACTCCTTGAGAGTTTTTCATGGTAGCGATAGCCTGGTTCTTAAGAAACTAGGCAGGGTTTTATCCAGTAGAGGCCGAGCCCAGAGGCCAGGCCTTGGTCCAGGGATGGGAGAGCATCAGAAGATACCATCCTTTGATGGTGCACCAGAGAAGCTGGCGACTTACCGAGATGAGGCGCTGGCATACACCTTCACTCTAGAGATCCATAAGCGGTTTCTAGCAGGGCCCAGACTGGCCCAAAGTCTTACAGGAGTGGCTCGCACAGTGATCCGAAGAAAGCTCTCAACGGATCCTCAATGGCTCGCTCACCCGCGAGGAGCCTACACGTTGATCGACTTCTTGGAGCAAGCCATTGAGCAACCGACTCTTGTGCAAGCCTCGCAGCACATCCAGAAGTTCTTCTACCAGCTCAGGAGGAAGAGGGGAGAAACCATGACGGAGTGGGTCAACCGGCACTCCGAGAGCCTTTGGGAAGCTTCTCGGGCCTTGAAGCGTGTTGAAAAGGAGTACGCCGTTGCACCCTCTGTCGCTAGAAGTTCCTCTTCCACAACCTCCCAGCAAGGTGACAGCCGCCCCAGTAGCTGGTGGGATTCGGCTGAGCCTCAGAGAAAATCTGAGGATGAAGTCTTTGCCTCAATGAGCTCGACGAGGATGGTGATGGCGGCCAGGACAATTGGTCCCAGTGGGGTTGGAGGTCTCAGGGATGGTCGTGGGGAGGCTGGTCGTCTTGGAAGACGGATGAGTATCAGCCCCCACAGTCCTGGGAGACTGATGTGGCTGACTTTTTGCCTGACTACCTCTGTGGCTTCTTGCTCTTGCATCGGAGCGGACTAGATGCTCATGACCGAGCCAATATCCTGGCTGCCATCCGCGGTGTCTTCTCTGTCAGATCAGTCGAGAGAGCATTGAAGGAACAATGGCGCGATGATCTCGCCAAACGGGACAAGGCCAAGTTCCAGCCCTTCGTTGCAGTCGAGGAGGAAGAAGATCAGGCTCTCATGGCTGAAGGGGAAGCACCGGACTTTGGAGATGATGCTTGGGCCGAAGAAGTTTACTGGGCTGACCAAGCCATTGTAGACTCAGCCCTTGCTGCGATCCAGGAGCAGAAGCGGACGCTGAAGGAGGCCAGATGGAGGCAAAGTCAGATGAGACTGGGCCGAAAGTTCTATCCGGTCTCAAAGGGCAAAGGCTATGCCAAGGGCAATGAGAACAAGCCGGCGTCAAAGTGTTTGAAGTGCGGCGGCCCTCACTTCACGGACAATTGCCCTGTGAAGCGGCCTTCAGCTCAGATAGCTGAAGAGCATGCCGAAGTAGCCTTTCGGCAGGGATCCTGCCTTGTGAGAAGAGTGACACCAGTGGAACTGGCGATTGCTTAGAACTTTCCTTTGCAGCCACCTCGGGAGCCTCGATCTCCCACAAACCATCAAGGCGGGCAAGGGGGTCATCGACTGTGGAGCTACAGCGACATTGGGGTCGGTGTATGCACTGGAGTCGATCATGGCCCTGAACGTCCAGCGTCATGGAGAAGATCGAGTGAGAGTGGACCCGGAGGTGAGGCCAGTGTTCAAATTTGGAAACAACGGCACCAAGTCGTGTATCTCCACCGTAGCTCTCGGTGTGGATCTCGGAGACCGAAAGGGAAATCTCCAAGTCCACGTGCATGACGTGGAGAATCAACCAGTGCTTATTTCCATCAAAGCGCTCAAGGCTTTAGGTGCAGTTTTGGATGTTGAAAATGACGAAGTCATTTACCGGAAGGTATGCCCACGTAGCGTAGTTCCTTTGGAAGCAGCATCCAATGGCCACTTGCTCATGCCCTTAGGCGGTGATCTCCTGAAAGGAGCAAAGATTCGCAAGGAACCCTTTTCCTCCTTGAGTGAATAGGAACCACGCTTCCTTGGGGAAAATGGACAACTAGCCCAAGGGAGACCGCCAAGTAGATTTCATGAGTTTGACACATGCAGTATTTGCACTTTGCAATCTGTACAGTCGGGCATTTGCAATTTTTGCCACAGCCACTTTCACAGTCCTCTTCAGTTTGAACATGTTGTTGATGTGTGTGATGATGCATGATGGTGATGTGATGAATGATCAACGTAGTCAGCTTGAGCCGGAAGTTTCTCTCCCGACGTCTCAGCCTCAATCCAACTTGCGTGATCCAACGCTCAGCAGCAGCTCCAAGTTTGGCTTGCCTGATGCCGACCGAGACGAAGGAGTTCCTGCATGCCAAGGTCGCCGAGCTGGGCGAGACTATGCCACAGTCGTCCAGCACCTTGCAGCTCAAGGCGCGATTGGCGGAGCTCAGGGATCAGTCCAAGAACCAGATGGGCCCCGCCTTGAAGGACCGCATGACAGAACTGAACAAGGCTTCTCGCAAGAAAGCCACGCTGATCGAATTTGCGGAGAAACAAGAAGTGCCCATCCTGGAGTCAGACACCATTGCCAGAATCTATGCCAAGGTGGAAGCCAAGTTCAACCAGGAGGTTCCAGGAACCTCATTGGACAAAGTGGGCTTCGGCAAGTTCCTATGGCCAGATCTTTGTGGAGAATCCCAGTTACATCAAGTGGGTCATTCAGACTGCGGAAGAGAACCAGGAGGATGCTCATTGGCGCCTTCGTCGCCTTGCCACCTGGAGTGTGATTCAGCAGACCCCACCGAATCTGTGCTGGAAGCCCATGCCGCCTTCTCCTCCAATCGGGGGGTATCACATTCAGGGCCATGGGAAGTTATCCCACCATCTTCCAGAAGATTCCTCCGACGGTTCATTCCAGGCAGTGACCAGCAGCGATCAAGAACAAATCCAACGTTTGGCCCAAGAGCTCGAACAGATCAAGTCCGAGAAAGCGAGTTGGAGCTGCGCCTTGGGAGCAGCAAGATGCGCAAGGAGATGTGAGCTTTTCTGAATCTGAGGAGCTAGAAGCATTGGCTTCCTACCCGGAACAACAGTGTCTCGACCGCCATTGCAAGATAGGCAGGGGTTGGAAAATTGAAAATAACCCCTACAACACGAAATGGGGTGAACTCAAGACTGTTGGTAGACTGTTTCTGTTAGAAGTTGCTTGCAGTCCGGACAGCCTTCTGTCAAGTGAAGCCGAGAAACAGTTTGGACCGGGTTCAGCCATGAGATGCTCCCTGTATAATGGCTACGACTTAACCACTAATGAAGGAATTTCCAAGATTTTCAAGGTCATTGATGAACTTCACCCTTGTCACATTTGGATTTCATGCGATTCGAAAACTTTCTCTTGTCCCATTTGTGATGAAAGAAAAAGGGTGGCTCCCCGTAGGCCTGCTACACTTGAGGTGATTCCCCAAAAATGGCAAGTTGTTCAATCGGATATGGGTTCCTGGCACCACCCCCAATCTAAGGACAAATGTAAATTCATTTTGTTCATCGATGAGGGGTGTAGGTTCAGGTCCGGAAAGGTAATTTTTGAGAACAGTAGACAAATGGCCACTTGGCCTCTGGTAAAGCAGGTTTTTGAGGAACATTGGCTGGCCCATTTTGGGCAACCGGAAGTGCTGCGTGTGGATCCGGAGGGTGTCTGGCGGGACACCGAAGCATCGGACTGGTGCGCTACCAAAGGAATACAGCTAGATACCATTCCGGCTGAGGCGCACTGGCAGATAGGTATCGTGGAAAATGCCATCAAGCAAGCCAAAGCGGTGATGACAGCCTTGGCCGAGGAGTATCATGACATGTCCTTAACAGAACTTTTAGCAGAGCATTATGGGCATGCAACTCCAAGGATAATCATTTGGGTTATTCTCCCCTTCAACATGCCATGGGTAGGTCACCGGACGAATGGGGCAAACTCCATGATAGCAGAATCCAGGGATATCCTATTCACCCCCAAGAACATGCGGATGGCGGTTTCAAGGATACCATTCAGGCCATGTCCATTGCGGAACAAGCCTCTCAAAGTTTCAAGCGGAAGCCAGAATTGCTCGCGCTACAGCTGCTGGACAGAGACCCATGAAATCGTTTTGTCCTGGGGATTTGGTTTTCTTTTGGAGGAAACAGGTTCCTGGGTGTCAAGGTAAAGGGTTCTCTTGGTCGGGGCAATTTGTAGGACCAGCCAGGGTTTTGGCGGTTGAAACTAGGGTTGAGGAGGACGGATCTCTACGTCCAGGATCAGTGGTGTGGTTACATCACGCAGGTAGACTCCTCAAGGCAGCCCCAGAACAACTCCGAGCAGCGTCAGAGTGGGAGCAGGCGATAGAACAGCTCCAAGGGCCTGGAGGTTCCGTGGACTATCACCTCTCTGGCGACACATCCTGGTCGTAAGACGTACCACGATATTAGTAAGGATCTTCCCACGGACGATCAATTCCAGGAAGCCGCAAATCATCCAACGGGGGGACGTAGATTTACTGGTAAGAAGAGAGGTGTAGACTCAGAAGCTCCAGCAGGTCCAGCGTTGCGTCAACGTCAAGCAGATTTCCAGCAAATGTCGGATTTGCACGTCACGTCGGAGAACACCAAAGCGGTTCAACCAGCTTTTGAGATTGCAATTGACCTTCCTACTTCGAAACGAGGCCTTAAACGTTTTTGTGATTCCCCTGAAGCTTTTGTAGCTAGTCAGTTGCGTAGGCAGACGGTAGAAGTTAGAGAAAGGAATCTTACTGATGAGGAGCTAATTGAGTTTCGTGGGGCAAAAGGTAAGGAGGTCAAGAATTACATCCAGTCCCATTGTTTCAAACTTCTTCCCCCTGAATCCCAAAATGTGGACGCTGTCGGTATGCGTTGGGTTTTGACTTGGAAATGTGTTCCCGAAGAAAACAGCCGTAGGGCGAAGGCGCGGTGTGTAATCTTGGGTTACCAGGACAAGTCTTATGAATTTAAGCCAACTTCGTCTCCGACTTTATCGAAGGCAGGACGACAAGCATTTCTTATTTTTTGGTACCCAAATGAATTTTCGGGTCAAAAAGGGGGATGTTAGTTCAGCTTTTCTCCAAGGGGATATTTTGGAAGATGCTTGAATGTAGTTCCGACACCGGAAATCTGCGAAGCATTGGGCATTCCGGCTGGGTCCGTGACGAAGCTTCAGCGTGCAGCCTATGGACGTGTTGAAGCACCACTCTGGTGGTACAAATCAGTTTCTGTTTTTTTGACATCAATAGGCTACACGCGATTGAAGAGCGAGCCGTGTATCTGGGTATATTTCGACTCTTCAGGAAAACCCCGCTCAGTTATCTCAGGACATGTTGACGATTTTTTATTTGGCGGAGAACCTCAAGACACGTTGCATAATGATTTGATGAAGAAGATTCAAGATAAATTTTTCTTGGGGAACTTGGGAAGAACCCCCTTTTGTGCAGTGCGGGGTGCGGATTAAGCAATTGGAAGATTTTAGCTTTGAATTGGATCAATCGGATTTCATTGAGAACCTTCGTCCTATTTATTTGTCTCATGATAGATTGAGGAAACTTGACGCACCAACTTCTGAACAGGAGAAGACTCAGCTTAGGGCCATCTTAGGTAGTTTAAGCTGGTTGTGTGGTCAAACTGATTTTCAACACTCTTCTGATGTTGGCTTTTTAATTTCCCAAACACCTCAAAGTAAGGTTTCGGATCTCATCAAAGTAAACAGATTGGTTGATGATGTAAGGAGAAACAACTGTCCCCTGAAGATCCATGGAATTTCCAAGGGTGCTCAGATTGATTTGGTCGCTTGGGCGGATGCGGCATGGGCCAATCGTCCCGATTTGACCAACAGCACTGGGGGTATCATCATTGCGGCGGCGAATCGCGATCTCCGAGATGGAAAGTTGACTCCTATCTCCTTGATATCTTGGCGCTCTTACAAGATTGATCGTGTAAGTAGAAGCCCAGCTTGCGCCGAAACTCATGCTGTAGTAGATGGTGAAGATGAACTTTTCCACATACGCTATCTCTGGTCAGAACTTCATCATCCTCCTTCACAGCTCAGAGAACTGGTCAAAGAAGAAATTGTTCGTTTAACTCCAGGAATATTGCTCACTGATTCTAAGAACTTCTATGATAAACTGAACAAGGACACACCTGTGATCAAGGGTGCAGAACGTAGGGCTGACATCGAGGCGCTGACAGTCAAGGAATCCATGGAAGACACCAATCTCATGTTGCGATGGGTTCATAGCGATGCTCAACTGGCCAATAGCAATACCAAACCTACTGAAAAACAACAAGTTCAACTTTTCAAACAATTGAATCAGAAATGGCGTATCATTTATGATCCCAACATGGTCTCTGCAAGACGACGCAAGGACATGGGTTTGAAACCGATGGCTCATAATGACTCCGGTGATTGATTGATGCGATGTTGATTTTTTTGATTTTTATCAGAGGACTGTGGAGTCAATTTTTTTTTATCTTGGACCTGTGTTCATTCGACATCTCAATCCGTGCGGCTGGTGGGCTCTTCGCAGGCAAAAGGGAGCAGTGCACAGGGTGCTGACTCCTTGAGAGTTTTTCATATATATATATATATACACATCATTATATATATATAATCATTCAAATCACCAATCACGTGCTGGCTAAACCATCCCGAAATTTTGCAGGACCCCCCCAACAAGATGGACATGTAATTCATCACATTTCATCACTATCCTAATGGGATTTTGCTTAGCCGAGGCACGGGGTTCACGCCGTAGCGCCGTTCGAAGTGCTCCCAGAAGCGGTCGCTGGACAACTTACCCAGCTCTGGTTGGAGCTGATCCTGAGAGGAAAAACATGGAGGAAAGATGAGGAAAACATATGGATTTTTCATTGGATTGTTTTCCACAAAATTTCCAGGAAATCTCCATACTTCATGGTAAAAAGCATGGTCTCCTGTTGATTTTCCTTTAAACCAATCCAATGGGTTTTTTGGATGTTTGTGGAACCCCAATATGGGTTTCAAGGTAAATCTTCTCATAAGTTTTAGAATAGGACCCGACAATGGTGAGATGCCTGCTGTTGTGTTTATGAACCTGGAGGATTTACAATATGGTGATTTTAAATGTTTTTAATATATTTAAATATGGATGATCATTTTATTCATGAATGGATCTAGGGTACAGACCCATGTTGGCTGCATGATGTGATGTTCCTCTTTTCAGGGTTTGTAACTTCCCGTGCTTCGAACATGTGACGTGCCATTCGTGTTTCGATTGTAACGATCATCTCGTGACATTCGCATAGTAAGCGTAGTATGAGTTGCCTGAGTCCATCATGAGACTCTATATGACTCTATCCATCAAGTAGTTTTGCTATCTCAAATGGAGGTTTGTACCAATATCTCTCTCCGATATCTGTGTTTGTCAGCAAAATGGGGGATACCTCAATTTATGTTTATTGTTCTAAGGAACACAATTTTCAAATCAATTTTCTCAACCACCTTATTTGGGTTTTTCCCAGCATTTTCAGCCAAACCCAATGGAACAACCATGGAAACTTGTTGCATGTGAGGTGGCCTCCACTTCAAATCAATGAATCACTGGCCCAGCCCAAACAACTTAATGTCTCAGTTCAAATTATCACAACATCTCACATTCGGAAGTACATTTCTCAATCCAAACAATAAATAAACGTTTTCAATGCCTCCATCTCTCGTTTCCAAACCACAAAATCTGTTCCCTCTGGTCATCCAACCTGATGCAAATTCTAACCGTTTATTTGGAGGATTCTTAAAATTGGAGGTACCCCTAAATCTTCCAGTTTTTGATAGGATTCTCCATCATAAACATTCATAAACCATCCAGTTTGGGGATACCCCATTTATGGAAACTCCACTTACATATGACTTTCCCTGCTAAACATTGTGACTTTTCAGCCAGCTATGCTTTATTGCCAGGTGGTTTAACTGTCCACGTCTTCATCGTCGAAACCTCGACAATAGCGGGTAACATCATGTAACATCCCCGTTTTAGTTGACTATGTTGACTAAGAAACAGTTTTGACTGGCAAAATACTAAATACTAGTCCTTTTCGAAGGCTGAAACCCTTGATTTCAAAATCACTCAAAATCCACAATCTTGGGATATAGAGGGATATCACTCAAAATCCATAATCCACTCAATTTTGGTGCAATCATCTATTTGTTTTTTCTATGTTTATTGGATTTTATTGGGATATAGAGGGATCATGGATCACAATCCCACAATCCGAGGCGCCGGATCATGCGACGCGCCGTGCAGCTGCGGTGCGCGGTTGGCTGAGACGTAGAGTTTCAATGGAGCTGGCCACTTTCGCCGCAGCAACTCCTAACGTTGGAAGATTGGAAGCTGGCCATTTTCGGATTTCGATCTGAAGAGGTATATGATGGTATATGTATCATATTATCTCATTGTATCTTATTGTCTTTTATATTCTTGTATTCATCGATAGTTAGTACCCAATATAATTTTATTACATGTTGGACTATATATGTTGCATATATTATCATTATATATTGTAATAATTTATATCCAACCATTGGGTATTATTGGATGATGTCATTCACAAACTCCCATTTTTTGTTGTATGTTTGTTGTAGTCGCAGTGTATAGATATATAAATACGTATATATATATAATGATCTTTATGAGATACAACATCCACTGATATTGGGAGTGTGATGACATTAATAATGACGATTGACACTAATAGTCAAAGCAATAGTACGTGGGATCCGTGGGATGGTGTGGAAATGCGGTGGCACCTTCACCAAAAGGGGAAGAGCAGGGTAAGCATGTTCAAGTATGCAGGAAACCATGTTAAATGGATATGGTTCAACATGGTTCAACATTATGACCTTGGGTACCGTGGGTGGCTACAGCAACCCGGTAGTACTTCAAATGTCCAAAATGTGGGGGCGAGCGGAAGCAATCCATGTTTGCTTGCTCTGTACAACGTAACGTTCTTTCCAAAGTCTCTTGGGCATTCCTTCTACTGGTCAAACGCAATCTCTCTCATCAAACCTCATTGCATAGTAGCTATATCATGTCAAACTAACACTGTGTGTGTTTGCGACTGTCTGAAAGTCGGGTATCCACTTTGATGGTTTGTCACAAAGTCGGGTTTCCACTTTGATGGTTTGTCACACTTTGATGGTTTGGCGCCATTTTGCTTTTTGGATCTTTTTGGGATATCCCCATTTTCAAGCAAACCATAGCAAACCCATATCAACATGATTTGAACCTAAATTTGGGGATGGAAACTCTACTTTCTCCCTGTTTCCAGTGAAATCGGGGATGGTTTATGCCATTGAATAAAAAACCGATTTCACCATCACACGCTAAGTGTTAGGTTCGTGAAAAGACAGTATACCAGTGGCCCCAACATTTATTAGTCTTATCATATCATTGTATTTTCCAAATGATTTTTTCCATTTTGGGGTATATTTATATAGATATATATTCCGCTTTCGGACCTACTGTCACTACCATGGCCCAGTCTCTTCATCTTTTGGCCAAAGCTCCATGTTTTTCACGGTCAACTTCCTATGTTTAACGGCTCGTTCAAGAGCAATGAAGCCGAAAACCATGGCTCTCAAGGTCCGGACCCAGGGATTCTTCTACATTATTCCCCCAATCTTAACATATCTCAACCACCTGAGCCACCTGCCAGATCTCCTGCACCATTTCATAAGCCAGCCAGGCGCCAAAGGAATGTCCCAAAATCACGAAGCTTTGGCCCTCGAAGGTACTTCGGCCTGGACAAAATTTCGAAGCACTTCGAGCCGTGTCCAGTGAACAACATGGTCGGATGTAAATCCAATGGCTATGCCATGCTATGCCTTGTTTTACTTGTTTTATCCTGTTTTTATAAACATCAACATGGAGTTGTGGAAGTTGTGATAGTATCATATAATATCTGATACGTCCCGCACAAAGATGTTGCGTCAGCAGCCTCACAACGTCCTTAAATCACCCTTTGAGCATAGCATCACGGGCCAAACCTCCTACTTCAAAAGCATTGTGATCATTGCTGGCAAGATCTTAAGCGATGCAACCTCTGCCTTAAGCTATTTGATTAGGCTAGACTCACCGTGACCAGATGGTCCTTGGTAGTTGGGATTTGTACAGGTACTGGATTTTCAAAAACAACCTATGAGTTACGGGTGTGGCAAACCCAATGACGTTAAGCCTACCATTTGGGAGTCGTTTATACATGTCTATACCCAAAACATGGTAATATTGGTTGTGGTTCAGAATTGGCTTCACCACAAATCCCAACTACAGATCTATTGTGACAGCTGGGTTTTCGCCCCACATGGACATCAAAAAACCGCTCACTGTGGCAGTGTCACCATCCTCGAATCCCAAGGATGGTGTATGACACAGGTGACCAATCCCCATGTGTTTTTTTTGCTCATTGCAAAACCCTTATATACTAGGGTTAAATCATTCATCATCTCATTTTTTTTGAGACAAACCCAAATATCAAATTGTCAGATATATCCTATTTAAACTATTGTATCCCCATAACATGAATTAGTTTGCCTATTCTATCACCATTACAGTCAGTGCCAGAATTATAGAACGGAGCCAGGAGGACAAAAGTACGGTAAAATACCGTACCTTTGTCCTCCTCCGGGTTCCGATTCGGAGCGGAGTCGGGAAATTTAATTATAGAACGGGGAGGAGGACAAAGGTACGGTATTTTACCGTACTTTTGTCCTCCTGGCTCCGTTCTATAATTTCTGGCACTGACATGATATTTACTGCATATTTGTACATATACAATCTAGAAAATGAAGATTTAATGAGGATTTAATGAGGATTTGATGAGAAAATGAAGATAAAATGCAGATAAAATGACGATTTGATGAGGAAACGAGGATAAAATGAGGATAAAATGAGGATAAAATGAAGATAAAATGAGGATTTGATGAGGAAATGATAATAAAACGCGGATAAAATGAGGATAAAATGAGGATTTAATGGGGATTTGATGAGGAAATGAGGATAAAATGAAGATTTAATGAGGATTTAATCAGGATTTGATAAGGAAATGAAGATAAAATGATGATAAAATGAGGATTTGATGAGATAACGAGGATAAAATGAGGATAACATGAGGATAATGGGAAATGTGGGAAAAATGGGGGAAAACAGAATTATAGAACAACAGCGCTCCGACAAGAATTATAGAACGACGAAAAAAGTTAGGAGTAAATTCAGATACGTTTTTTTTCTACCTTCCGAGGAAAACAGAATTATAGAACAACAGGGTACAGTAAATAACCGTACCTTCGTACTCCTCAACTTCCGTTCTATAATTCTGTTTTCCCCCATTTTTCCCACATTTACCAGGTGATTTTCTTAGATTTCATGGTGATTTTAAAAGATTTCATGGTGATTTTATGGGATTTCATGGTAATTTTATGGGATTTCACGGTGATTTTCTTAGATTTCATGGTGATTTTATAGGATTTCTGGGACCCCGGAAGAGGTTCTATAATTCTACAATTAATTTTTCCGTTCTATATATTAATTTTTCCGTTCGACGGAAAAATTAATTATAGAACGGGGCCCGGGAAACATTAATTATAGAACGAAAATGGGAAATGTGGGAAAAATGGGGGAAAACAGAATTATAGAACAGCAGCGCTCCGACAAGAACTACGAAAAAAGTTAGGAGTAAATTCAGATACGTTTTTTTTCCACACCTTCCGAGGAAAACAGAATTATAGAACAACAGGGTACGGTAAATAACCGTACCTTCGTACTCCTCAACTTCCGTTCTATAATTCCGGCACCTACAGTATAATTATTTTTTCCGTTCTATAATTAATTTTTCCGTTCTATAATTAATTTTTCCGTTCTATAATTAATTTTTCCGTTCTATAATTGATTTTTCCGTTCGACGGAAAAATTAATTATAGAACGGGGCCCGGGGAAAATTAATTATAGAACGAAAATGGGAAATGTGAGAAAAATGGGGGAAAACAGAATTATAGAACAACAGCGCTCCGACAAGAATTATAGAACGACGAAAAAAATTAGGAGGAAGATCAGATACATTTTTTTTCATACCTTCCGAGGAAAACAGAATTATAGAACAACAGGGTACGGTAAATAACCGTACCTTCGTCCTCCTCAACTTCCGTTCTATAATTCCGGCACTGACCATAGATCCACATGTTTGAATTGGCACCTTTGTAGTATAAGTGAATTTCATTTCCAGTGTGTTCTCCATCGACATTGCACTCTATATCGGGGTTGAGCCCCAACTTTTTTTTGGCAACTCCATCAAAAAACATATTTTTTGTTAGGCAAAGATATAGTTTTAGTCTTGGTTATATCAATGATATTTTCCCATTATTTCCCTATGATTTTCACTTCCCAAGGCCATATTTCCCTGGGTGTTGTCACTTCACCTCACCATGCAGTAGTCTGGGAGTCTGGGAATGGCGGTCCAAAGATTGGCTTGGCTTTGCTTAAGGATGGCGGTCCAAATATTATAACGATTTCCTAAAGGATTCTCAAAGTAAGTGCATTTCCCACTGGGAAAATCACTCAAATCATCGAGCAAATGAAGGTTGGGAGTCCCTCTGAAATTTTCTAATAAAACCCTATATATCCTCTTAAATTACATAAAAAATCCCATGAAATCCTATATCTTAAATCCCATCAAGTCCAAATTCCGCCTATGAACTCCCAACGGCCAAGTTCCACCAGGCCTATGCCGTCCAGCACCAGCATGGCCAGTTCCGTCAACGTCGCGGCCGCAAGGGCGGCCTCGCTCATGCGGCAGCCGCGCCCGGGCAGCTCCAAGGCCAAGAGCTCCACTGAGGCCGGCAGCCGCTTGGCCTTTCGGACCAGCCGCCCTTTTCGGACAACGGAGGGAAAAAGATGGGAAAAGTAGGCGAAATGATGGGAAAATGATGGGGTATTTCATGGAATATGGAAAAACCCATGGGGGTTGATGATGGTTTTATGGACAAATTATGGCTAACTCGGGGCATTTCAAGGGGACAATCATTTAAGTTCATAGATTCAGAAAAAGTATGGGGACCCCTTTATATATAGCCAGTAAAACAAGCACTCCTCAATTATGGTGACTCAAACACCAGCGATGCAATTTTCTGGGATGGGCATATCGCCAACGCACTTTCAGACCGAGACTCATTAATCATAAGGTATTGACTTTCAGCGGGGTTCCAATCCTGCAACATTGTTGGTTTGCCATGGTTTGCCAATAAATCGCCATAATGTCGACAAATCCCAACATCAAGAGATTTCAGGATTTTCTTTCCAATCTCATGGGATTTTTCTTTTGCCCGTAGGTCCAAGTAGCCCAAGGGTGGAAGGAGGCGCCCCCCATCCCCACTGGTGGCACACAGAACAGCCGCAGCTTGATGTCGGAGCCCAGGTTAGGCTGGGGCACTTCGGAGATCCAGGGGCCATACTTCGAACCAGCCGCGTTCATGGCGCAAGAAATGGAGGCGCTCCAGTCTCCAGTAAATAGAAACTGATAGAAACTGACATAAACTCCAAGGATATAGTGAAACTATGTGAAACTGATGTATTTTGATGGGTCTCGCAAAAATGGAAAGGAACCATTTCAACTGATATAGCTTGATGTTCGGCGTCGTAATCAGTTTTGGAGAGTGCTGCATCAACGTCATGGAAAAGAGCATTTGGGGCCAAAATTAGTGTCACAAAGTTTAATCATATATGATCATATGGAAATATATGGAAGTATGAACATGAAATAACGTGAACTAATCTGATTGAATCATATTGAATCTAATTGGTTCAAACAGATAAACCCTTTCAGTGTGTGACCTGGGCCGAACATCTTGAGCCAGGGAGACCCAAAAAGTGCTTTGATTCAACAAGACGATACATTTTTTCACTGCCCCTAAGCTATATATAACATGAAACAACGGGGAAACTAATGATCAACCATTTGATTCTTGCAACTGGGTCTGATTTTATCTGAACTCCGCTAATTGAGACTGATACCAACCGATTATCATCTTTTTGTTTCCTGATTGGCAATGTTCTCTCCCTCAAAATGACAATTTTGTTCAATTCAAGTTCTTTTTTCCCAGCAAAGTGACCATCTTCTCGCAGTGAACTGGCATTTTTCATTTTTCCCATCAACCAACAATTGCCATATAAATATAATACATCCATAGATGATATACATGTGGCTTGGTCTGAAAGTAAGCTGACCCCAAATTTCATGGTCTAAAGATGTCTAAAGTCTAAAGCATCATATTCCCATGAAAACTGGTTATGACTAGGGGTTCATCATGGGCCCATGGGCCCATATTCCAAGGGTTGGAGTGCGAGTCGATGCGAGTCCGCCTGGATTCTCTTTGCCTCAGCCGTGAAATCGCATGCTTTTTGATTGTGATGTTGGCAAAATCATCAACATAAACAATATAGATATAATGATATAATATATATATATATACATATTTATTATAACTGTAAGCATATGCATATTATTAAATATTATATATACATACATACATACATACATACATACATACATACATACATACATACATACATACATACATACATACATACATAC